TTGTGGCAACCCCTGAGATATTGGAAGACTTCTATCATGTCCCCCCTCGTCCGTCTCTTCGTTAAACTAGACATACCCAATTCCAGCAACCGTTCCTCATATGTTTTAACCTCCAGTCCCCTAATCATCTTTGTTGCTCTTCTCTGTACTCTTTCTAGAGTCTCAGCATCTTTTTTACATCGTGGTGACCAAAACTGGATGCAGTATTCCAAGTGTGGCCTTACCAAGCCATTGTAAAGTGGTATTAATATCTGCTAGGATGGGGTCAGATATCATTAGGATATATATCAGCTTCTGGTTAGCTCAGCCGGGTTGTTAAGACCATGTCTCAGTGCTAGAGGCTCAAACCTAAATGTGGCAAGACAAGGCTATGGGTGGATGGTTATTCTGGCTGCAGTGACTCTTCCTGTTTAGTTCTAAGTGGAATTGTACTTCCCTCTTCTGGGCTCATAGCTTCATAGCACACCAGGATGAACTTCACACAAGATTTACTGCACCAATTTCACCCTTTCATGGACCAGGACCCCCATCTCAGAGTCACTTAAACCCTGGACCCTCACGTGTCGACTACTGCAAAATGCTGCACATGATGCTGCCCTCGGACATCATTTGAAAGCTACAGGTGGTCCAGAATGCAGCAATGTGAGTAATCATAGGTCAGTCCAATGCACCCGTATAACACTTCAGCAATGTGACCTGCACTGGTTATCAGTGAACTTCTCTCACATAATTTTTACTTTATTTATGTATTAGTATTATACGATGCAAAAATAGCAAAGAAAATAGTAAAGATAGGGGAGGGAAAAAAGAAGGAAAATGTGGAAAAAAGGGGTAAAAGAAAGAAAAGGCGTTGACTTACGACTTCCTTTGGTGCAGTAGAATAACATAATAACATCAAACCTCAATATCTTACTTTCATAGAATAGTATAAAGTAGCCATTTCTATAACAACAAACCTATCTAATCGGTAAAACCCAAAATCCAATGTTTCATTTTTTTTCCACCTCAAGTATAAAGTCCAGAAGTGGCTTCCAAGTAGAAACAAAAGTAGTTGACGAGTTATCAGTGAACTTCTGAATGCAATTCAAAGTGCTACTTACCATTTCTAAAACTCTTCACCATATAAGGCAGGGGTAGGCAACCTCGGCTCTTTTATGACTCACGGACTTCAACTCCCAGAATTCCTGAGTCAGCGTTGCTGACTCAGGAATTCTGGGAGTTGAAGTCTGTGAGTCATAAAAGAGCCGAGGTTGCCTACTCGATATAGGGCTTGGCTGTTTGAGGGACTGCTATTATTCTTCCCTCCCTTGGGTTAAGGACCAATAGTGTGTCCCATTCATTAAGCAGTGTCATCTGATTGGACCTAGGAAATGTTCCTTCTGTGTCATGGCTCCTCCCCAAATCTCCCAGAGGTTTGGAGCTTCATTATTGTTCTCTGCCCAAGTCAAATTGTCAGGAGTGCCAATGGAGAAGGCCCACTTGTTGGGCAGGTTGTAAATTGGTTTTGTTTTTCACTTCTATACATTCTGCTATCAAAAACGGGTGAAGCGGTCTCACCATCTAGGCCTTCCAACCCGCGTTTGAGAGTCATCTTCCTGGCTCTTTTCTCCCAGTCGTCCTTTCTTCCAACGCCCATCGACCACCTTGGTTTGTCTCGGCGTTCGGCAATCACTACTTCATCCGAGGAGCTCGAGGATTGCAAGCTGTATTTGCTGGGATCTGCCTGCTGGGAGATCTCCCCCATGGCGGTCTCTTCTCTTTCCGTCCCAATTTCAGACATCGTTTGCACGGTCCCACGGTAAGGGCCTTCCTTCCGGGTTGACTGTTTCTGCAGATCCTGCCTAATGTAAGGACCCGCTTCAAAACCTCACCCCAAGAAAGCAGGACTCTTGGAACCATTCCATTCCAAAAGGAACTTTTATTAGGTGAAGTTGACAGCAAGCATAGAAGGCAGGATCTGAGGGTTTCCCGCTCAAATCAATAGGTTAAAGGAGCAAAAAGCAAATCCCAGTTCATCTGGTCAGTTCAAATGGCCCAATCCCCAGGTATCAAGTCCGCTGTGGGAATGAGGCTGATAAGTCTCCATTCCCAAGGCTGTGAAAACGTTGTTGGGTCTTTGCACCTTCCTTTCTGCAGCGAGAGATAAGCCAGATGGCCGAAGGCACATTCCTTTCTCACCCCAGGTTGACATCAAGGGAAGAATAGTTCAAAGAGCAAGCAGATGGAGGAAGCAGAGAGGATACATTGTAGTAGCTAAGCGAAAGGCGAATACACATAGTTCCTCCTCCCCTTAGGAGTTTGGCAGAACCCAGGAAGAGGAAAGGGAAAGGAATAGGAAAAGCCCCCCCTCTTGAAAGAAATGGTTTCTAACACAACTGTGTTACTAAATTAACAACTCTAGTGATTCACATAACAACTGTGGCAAGAAAGGTTGTAAAATGAGACAAAACTCACTTAACAACTGTGTTGCTTGGCAGTGGAAATTTTGGGCTCAGTTGTGATCATAAAGGTCTACCTGTATATAACATTACAGGTAATCCCCAGGTTACAAGCGTTCACTTAACGCTCGTTCAAAGTTACGTGATGAGCGCCCCCTAGTGCTTATGAGCACGTCCCGAAGTTACGAATATTGCAGAACCACGGCAGTCGTTCGCCCTTACAAGCGACTGCAGTGGCTCTGCAACATTCACCCTGGTTATTCCCTCCCTCCCCACCCCGGCCCCAGGTCTCCCTAGGCACCAGGCCTTCAGTACTTACCCTGCAAAGTTTGAGACCCTTCGCTTTCTTGGCTGCTCCAGGCCTTCGGTGTGTTCGCAGAGAATGGAGGCCTAAAGTAACGCAAGATCATGCAAGATCAATGGAGCGAGTTCTTACGCTACTGATCTTGCGTGATCTCATGGTACTTTAGGCCTCTATTCTCTGCAACAGACAATGGAACCAAAGCTGGGGGATGCTTCTCCGTGCCTCCGGAGGCTGGATTGGGGCTCCGGAGGCCTTTTCCAGGCTGCTGTCGCTCAGATTTGAGGCCAGCAAACGCTTCTCCGCACCCCGCGCGGCCCGATCCCGGCTCTGGAGGCCTTTTCCAGGCCGTTGCTGCCCAGATTTGAGGCCGGCGAATGCTTCTGCAGCCTCCCTGCGGCCTGATCGGGTCTGGAAAAGGCCTCCGGAGCCTGGATTGGGCCGCGCGGCATGTGCGGAAGCATTCCCTGGCCTCAAATCCAGGCGACAGCAGCCTGGAAAAGGCCTCTGGAGCCCGGATTGGGCCACGCGGGGTGCGTAGAAGCGTTCCCGGGCCTCAAATCCAAGTGGCAGCAGCCTGGAAAAGGCCTCCAGAGCCCGGATCAGGCCACGGGAGGGGGGGGTCACGGAAGCGTTCCCCGGCCTCAAATCCAGGTTGCAGCAGGAACCATGGCAGACAGGAGACGGATCTTTTCCAGGTGAGTCTGGCACGGCAGGAAGGGAAGGGGAAGCATGCGGTATCTTAGTGGGTCGGGGAGGCCTTGGGGGCCAGTTCCAGCACTAGGCCCTCCACGGCCTTCCCCACCCTGAGATACCTTGTGTTTGCTTAACAAGCTGCATACGTTTTAACAAGCAAGGGAGTGATCTCTAATGCTAAGTGGAACTACAGCCTTTCAAATCTTTAGACTTGAAGCTGCAATTGGTGCGGCATAAAAACCCAACAAACAATGGTGATTTAAATAAATTAGTGGCTTCTTCAATTACCCTAACTATTTGGCCACAATCCTGACATTGTTTTATAGGTCACCTCAAACATGCCTGGGCATTAATAGCGGCAATTGTGGCTTTATAGCAGCAACTGTGAGAGGGATCTTGGAGTCTTAGTGGACAATCAATTAAATATGAGCCAACAGTGTGCAGCCCAAAAAGCCAATGCAATCCTAAGTTGCATTAACAGAAGGATTCAATCAAGATCACATGAGGTACTAATACCACTCTATAAAGCCTCAGTAAGACCACACGTAGAATACTGCAACCAATTTTGGTCTCCACACTATAAAAAAAAGATGTTGAGATTCTAGAAAAAGTGCAGAGAAGAGCAACAAGGCCTGGAGGCTAAAACATAGGAAGAACGGTTACAGGAACTGGGCATGGCTACTCTAGTGAAGAGAAGGACCAGGGGAGACATGATAGCAGTGTTCCAATATTTGAGGGGCTGTCACAGAAAGGAGGGGGTCAACCTATTTTCCAAAGGACCTGAAGGCCAGACAAGGAATAATGGATGGAAACTGATCAAGGAGAGATTCAACCTGGAAATAAGGAGAACATTCCTGACAGTGAGAACAATCAACCAGTCTGTTTGCCTCCAGATGTGGGAGTTTCATAACTGGAAGCTTTCAAGAAGAGACATCAGAAATGATGTAGGGTCCCTTCCAATCCTATTCTATTCTATTCTATTCTATTCTATTCTATTCTATTCTATTCTATTCTATTCTATTCTATTCTATTCTATTCTAATCTAATCTAATCACTGCTTGGTAGATCAGTGGCCCTAATTTCAGCTGGATGCAGCTACATACACATAAACCCATTCATCTCACTCAGCTGTTTCCAGGTGTACAACACATTTGCACATACGCCACCTTGACAAAGGGGTATCTCCAAACAGCTCATGCTGCTTTCTCAGGCACTCAGGAAAATAGAAGATTACTATCTGATATTTTGCACCATTTAAATGTTATTTTATTAAATATGCTGAGTTCAAGGTTTATTGTAACAAAGCTATGAAGGTTCTATTAACATTCAGAAAAAAAAAAACTAACTTTATTATTTCACTATCATGCAAAAAATTTGCATCAAACGGTGTTCCATTTCCTGTGTAAAACTGGACATGATATAGATGCTTACATTAACCTCATAGCAGAACATTAAGAAAGCCAAAGGTCTATAGCTGTGTTTGATAACGGCCATACCAAGCTAAGGTTCTCATTAAATTGGAACAGGTCTTACAGATGGTAAAAACAAAGACAAAAACAACTCAAACGGTTCCAAAAATATGTTTTAAGGATGCAGATACTCAATACAGGGGGATTATTATAAATAATCAGATAAAAGACAAGAGAAGAGCAGACCTAGAAGCATGCACATCTTTTTTTTAAGCAGTATAACTAATTTCCTGTTCCTCACTTTGTAATGTTATTCTTAAAAATCTTAGTAAAATTATCAGGGGTTTTATTACTCCACACACTTAGTCCTAGATATGTTCTATATTAAATTGATAGGAAGAGATGAAGTTTTGTCACACTTTTCGGATGCTGTTGAATTAACTTCACCAATAACCCCAGCTCACAAGCCAACGGTGAGGGATACTAGGAGGTGTAGCCAGCAACAACAGAAGTGTCACTGGTTCTTTCGCCCCAGTAGAATTCTCTCTCTCTCTCATTTGAGAAAATATTCCTTCTCTTTAAAGGAGAAGGAAATTTTGCACAAACTTCTGCAAGAAGGAATGCTTTTTTCCTGCACTGAGTCATGAACTATCATAAATATTATGGAGCTGAGTTAGGAGTTTCTTGTTAGAAGAACAGAAAACGATATTTCCCCTTCAATTCATATTGAAACTGAAACTGTATTTTCCTAAACTCCATTAAGTTGACCCTCTTATTTTTTTTATTTAATTAGACAGCAAAAATATTCTCAATCCTACTTCAGGCACAAAGGGAACAACTTAATGGAATTCCATCTTCTCAAGATCTAATGAATGGACATAAAAAGGTTTGGTGTGCGTTGTATGCCAGGGGCAGAGAATGTCATAGTATAAATCCGATCTTGGAAATTTACTGGGAAAGCTTTTGTCCCATCCACTTCTACTCAGAAACTGAAAAAAAATAGTAGTCAAACCATAAAGCTGACAAAATACTTCTGATGTAGGAAATAAAGAACATTACTCACTTTCTTTGTAGCAAAGACAATAAATACGGCTGATGCGAAAGTTCTCTATGTTTATGTGGTTAAAACAAACCCCCCAAAAAACTACAGAACAACAGGAAATAAAGCAATGTCAAATAGACTGGGCTACTGAAAACAAAAAGCACTTCTGGAAGTTCCTGGCTCCCTTTTGCTAGTTTTTATCAGAAAACAAATCAAACTGGGAAACCAGCTAGCCCCATAATTATAGAACTTTTTTTTTCTTTTTAAAATTCATAGCTAATATAGTATTTTAGTATAACACAGAGACTAAATTGCACACCATACAGGAAGCAAATGCATGTGTGCGCAAATCTTCAGGGCAGAGTCTAACAAAGCTTTTCAACTGTTTCCTAAGGAGCACGTAATTCTGCAGCACTCTGGATTCCCCCCCTCTATTCTAAACAATAAAAAATAAAATAAGCCATTCACATAATTATTATTTTTGCCCTCTTTTAAGATTATTTGCTTTTAAATTCTACCCTTATAAGTTGACTTACATCATCGAGGAGTGGCTGTTTGTAAAAATCAGTGCATCTCTGCAGCTCCTATGCTAACAAAACCAGCTCATACTTGTTCCTTAAAACATTCTTGTTCATTTTTTATCCCAATCCATCAGTGAGAGCCAGCGGTCAAATAATCAGCTCCTCTCTTACTGCTGAGGTCTAGGCTCCGGTTGGTTGCGGGATAGCGACAGCGTTAAGAAAAGTCCTTCTTTTGCTTTACCCCTTCCTTTATGCGGGCCCTAGTGAGCTCACCCCCATCAGCCCTACCTCACTGATTAAAGCAGCAGCATAACCCAAAGACAAGGTCCATTTCCGCCGGGCCTACAACAGAGGACAGCATCCTGCTGCCCAAGAGATGCTGTGTCTCTCTCTCTCAAACTCTTTTTCTTTCTTTCTTTCTTTCTCTCTCTCTCTCTCTCTCTTTGCTCCAATTCTGAAAGATGCTTCACAGCTGTTGCTCCATCATCAGCCCTGGAGGGGAGGTGCTGGATCCTCCCATCACGGATGATCTCTTTTCTATACAAACAATATGGGTTTTCTCTCAGGAGTTATAAGACACCTTCATACAGCAGAAACAGACACGATGGATCCATGGAAAAACAATAGAAAGGCGGCAGCGCCCGGAGCATCAGATTCATGCAGGGTTTCGTGCACTTGGCTGCTGCCGGTTCGTAATTCTTATTTCTCGAAACGTCAAAACGAAGATGACCGTTGCTGTAATTCAGGTACTCCAGAGCTGCTTGCTGAGAAGATATTGCCCTCCCGCTGAGTATCTCCGAAAACTGCTGCAATCAGGAAAGCATAAGCGTGAAGAGAAAAACATAGCATAACCGGGTCAATGGGGTAAAATCAGATTAGGGATCCCAAGGCCTGGTTGGTTACACCTGCGTTTAAACTAGCATACAGATGACAGTTACACTTCACAGCACACAACAGTTAAGGGATAGTCCTCCCTATTCCACTTAATTACTATTGATGATTAAAATCATTTCTTTAAGTTAATATTCCACTGGCTGTAAGCTATCTCAGTAGCCTAAAATAATACATTTAAGAAGTTAGTATGGAACAGGGGTAGGCAACCTTGGCTCTTTTATGACTGGTGGACTTCAACTCCCAGAATTCCTGAGCCAGCCATGCTGAGGGGAAAGGGAGAGGTTTCCAAGCTGAGCCATGCCGGCTCAGGAATTCTGGGAGTTGAAGTCCACGAGTCATAAAAGAGCCAAGGTATGGAAGAAAGGAGATGGTGAACAAGAGACAAATTATCTGTTGG